CAGCAGACATTCACGGCGTCCTGTGTTGGGCCAGGCAATGGACCGAGGATGTGGCTGTGACCAACACGAGGCCCTTGCCTTCCTAGCTCCAGAGTGTGCCCAGGGAGACAGCCACGTGCCCCAGAAATACAGGGAGCAGCGTTTACCCAGAGACAGGGAGGCCGGGGAGATGTGGGAACTCGGGGGCGGTGCAGCTGAAGGTAGGGTTCGGGGGCTCCCTTGACTCCTGATGAGGTGGGAATTTCCTTAGTGTTGTCTCACCTTTCAGCCTGGCAGACACTTAACAGGCTTTTTTTGTCTTGTGTAGAAGTAGACGTATTCCTCTGTGTTACCCCTCTTCAAAGGAACTTCAGAGGGTGGCAGTTGCAAGCTTTATGGGACAGATCAGATGGGAAAAGGAAATTGCCTGTCAGGCTCCACTTGCGAGAGAGCTCCATGGGAATCCCTGCCCTTTCCCGTGATTATCATAAAAGATCGAGCTCCCTTTCTGAGCTGAGAACCACCCTTGTTGCCCCCTAGATGAATAAGATCGATCATTCAACAAGGATTACATGCCTCCTACCGTTTGCCAGATGTAATTTTAGATGGAGAGGATACATCAGTAAATACTTTTCATTGGGGTCGCTTTTCTCTTAGAAGAAATAAACCAATGAAATTTCATAATGGGGGGTGTAGGGGATGGAGAGTAAACTTCCCTGATGGGTAAGAGGACAGAAAAGTGACTGTGGTCTTTGGTGACTTGAATGGAGCAGTAGGAATAGAAGTCTGTTTGGAGAAGGGCAAAGGGAGAACAAGAGAGGAGGTGGAGCTGGATACTTTAAATCCCTTCAAGCTTTTACAGTGAGGGGATACAGAGAAATGGATCTGGGCTTCAACTGGGGTGAAGGAATCGTTTCTTTTCTTTTTAATACATTTTATTGATTTTTTACAGAGAGGAAGGGAGAGGGATAGAGAGTTAGAAACATCAATGGGGAAAAAAAGAAAAAGAACCATCGATGAGAGAGAAACATCGATCAGCTGCCTCCCTACTGGGGATGTGCCCACAACCAAGGTACATGCCCTTGACCAGAATCCAACCTGGGACCCTTCAGTCTGCAGGCCAACGCTCTATCCACTGAGCCAAACAGTTTAGGGCTCTTTTAAGTGGAAGATACTTGAGCATGATAATACGCTGATGGGTGTGATCCAGCAGAGAGAAAGAGTTTGCTGAGGCTGCACCTAGGAGGCAGTTACAGGGTAGCTTACAGAGCATCTGTGGAATGGCTTTTCATGTAAATAGTAATGGGGGAAAGCAGAAAAGACAAGCACAGCTGCTGAATGTGAGTACTAATGCAGGTAACCAGCAAGTTAAAAAAGAAAAAGTGTTGCCCTGGCCGAGTGGCTCAGTTGGAGCATTGTCCCCTGTATATTGAAAGGTCGTGGGGTCAGGTACATACCACGTTGCGGTTCATTTGGAAGGCAACTGGTCGATGTTTGCTTCTCTCTTCTTCTCTTTCTGAAATCAATAAGAACATATCCTTATGTGAGGAATAAAAAAAAGAAAAGTCTTTTGCCCTATTGCCATATTTTGGGGGGTCCTGCCCAGAGTGAGTGTGTATGTGTTTTGTGAGTGAGTTGGGAATGTGACCGTTTAAAAATTCCTAAACAAAAAATATTAATTTTCATTTTGAATATTGCTGATCAAATTGTACAATGTTGTATACTCTTAACAAAAATATAAGCCATTGTTACACATTCCAGGGTCTCCATGCAATTTTGTTTTTAGAATTAATTCCTTCCAACCCAAATCAACAAATCCATCAGCGGGAATAGTGTTACAGAAAAACCGGAGAAGAACTAAGCAACACTTAGAGAGATGGAGTTACATTTATTACGCGCGGGCCCAGCATAAAATGTCTCTCAAATTCTGGGTGAAATCACACAGGAAGTTTCCTGTATTTATACTATCTTACGCTCTTTGTCTCCCCAATATGGGGTTTTTCCAGTTCCCTTTGCAAGTTCTTAACGAGCCCTATGTGCTGGCACCAGCAGTTGTCTGGGGAAGGTCTAATGGCCTCTATGAAATGGGGGTAGTCTTATTTTCCTTATTATTTAAGCCAGCAAGCATTTACAGAAGCCAGAAATAGCAGGATTAAAATTTCAAACAGCAGTTTTTATATAAGATGGATGCTTCAATAGCACCAGGAAAGAAACTAAGAGTCAGACATGCTCCATAATACTTGACATTTTGCGAATAGATAATTGTGGAAGAGTTAGGAGCAGTGGTTTCTGCCATGCCATCAAATACTTGCTAGGATCGTTTTTCTTGTGTCTAACCAACTGGAATAGCACAACTATGTACTACCTGTAAGTAACTTGCTGGACATTGTTGAGCTAAATCACTGTGCCTTGTACCATTAACTAGATGAGACTTATTTTAGTGAGACAGTTTTCTCGTCTTGGTGGAAGTTGGGTCCTCGTAAGCAGATGTTAGAGCTTTGTCTGAGCAGCTCCCAGCCTGCCAGCTTCTATAGGAAAGACAGCCCACGTGATAGCAGCACATGGCTTCCTTATCTAGTGATGTATATTCTTGAGAGAGGAAGTTCATTGATATAATGTACTGTATATACCGGTACACCTCTTTAGAAGGAGAGACAGAGTATTTTAGATTGTTCTTGGGGAGTCTGAATTATTTTCTCCTGAATTTGTAATCAGGCCTGTGGTCCCAGTTTTTTTCAACAGTCTTTCAATATATTTCTCCTGTTTTCAAAGGCCTTGAGAAATCAAATGCCTCATATGCACACTGTTTACTTAAGGTGTAATTAATTTAAACATACTTTGATTTTAGAAATAATGCTATATTTTAAAATG